TCTGAGGAGTCACAGCCTTGCGGAGGGGTGTATCTGGTGTAGTTGGTCCCCAGAGCAGACTTCTCTCAACGCACTTTTTCAATTCATGAATGTGTTTACATAAAAACCTTTGTCTGAAGATGCCCTTCTCAACACAGAGCATTCTCCTGCACCTTCGCCAAATACGTGCTTTCTGCTGTGCACGCCTGTCTTCCACCAAGAGCTACAACCTCTAACTCTGGTTTCTACTTCTTTCCAGCTGTCACCCATTCCTACTTCTGGAATCTAGATTCCGCTTGTCACCAGCTCCAGAACTCCTGCTCCAGTGAGTTGGCACAGCTTCCCACTCCTACTTCCTCAGTCCCAGTAGAAAGTATAAAACTAAGAAGGGATTAAAAAAGGCGATCAAAATATAAGTACCGTGAATGACCTAGTTATAGGGTATGGCGGATTTGCAGACAACCTAGTCAGTTTATCTTATGGTAATTGAGAGAGATCTTTGGTGCTTAATGGGGAGCAATGAAAGACACAGTGAGTCAGCCATCCATGTCTGATATCTAAGCCATGACAGTCCACTGTCACATATACAAGATGTTCCTATTAGTAAATATTTATCACCACGTTAAAATCATTTCTCATTCTACTCCAAAATAAGATCGCTGGGAAATACTCTCTGAACTAAATGAAATTCCGAGCACACAGTGACTGAGATGAGGCAGGACACAGGCTCCTCCATCTCTCCTTTGTTTCCAATCTCTTTCTTTACCCTGAGTACCCCAGAGCCTTCCTAAACCCCTTAGTTCCGGTTTCCCTTTATTTTATGAAAGCCTGTGTACTAAGACTAAAGAAGTGTTTGAAACCACAGGTCCCTATGTATCATAACCTCAACTGAGGTTACAAATGTATTATCTGTTGAATAAAGATGCCTTGCCCATCATTCAATATTGACCCAATTTTCTTCCTACCTTTCTTTCCCATGTTCTACCTCCATGCCCAGGACTCCCTTAGGTGGGATGGTATTCTCTGTACCTACTTTGGTAAAGCCTTGTATATCTCCTCTGTGACACTTTTCTGCCTGGCTTTCTTTTGTTAATCATGTCTTATCCTCCCACTCCCCCCCCCCACTAGATGTGAAGGAGTTTTAGCACACTCATCTTTCCACTTTCGAGTTGTGCTGGTACGTGAGTACATGTCAGAATCATCTTCATAATCATAATGGCAATGCTAAATTCAGTTGAGTTCAGCAGCAGACTTAGTTTCTTTTTAATTGACTTGTAAATCTTACATTTCACAGCAATGGTCAGAAAGTCACCCCCCAAAGAAAGGAAGAGCCTATAGGAAAACAGAGATGAGATGAGCATGCCATTAACCCCACCACCTCTTCTCCAGCTACGCTTTGTTGAACGGCTTGATGAAGAATCCCTAGAGTCGCTGCAGTCTGAAAGCTGCAGTAGAGAAAGGCAAGCCCATGCCATTAACATCCCCTCCCCTGTCCCTAATGGCTTACACTACAGAGAGACGTGTCTAAAAGGATATCTGAATTCAGAATAAAATTCTAGCAACCACAGTTTTAATTGCATACCAACTGCAAAATATTTCTTCCATTGTCTAGATAAAAGAAAGGCTATAATACACGCTGTCTGCTCTTTTCAGAACTCAGTTATTAACCTTTAAGATTCTTTTCTAGGATAAAAGCCTCTTTCCCAGAAAATGTGTCTCGAGACTAGATCTTGGTCTTGAAACACTTTAACTCCTCTCATGGATGACACTGAAACTTCAAGCCTGATCAAAAACCGTTTTACTCCGCATAGCATTTTGGACACTGGAATTTCAGAGATTTCTCCCCACATTGGAAAGTTAAAACAACAATTTTTCGAAGTCACACAAAAAAGCTACCTTCTTCTCCAAGGGGCAAACACATACATGCGCAACACCCAATTTGATTACTCAACATCAAGTCACAGCAATCACAAGGGAAGATTGGGCTGCCGTTTCCATGGAGACGACTTGATGTGGTTCAGCTCTTCTGGGAATGAAACCAAATCCCTAGCAGTATGAGAAAATCAGCAGCAAGAATTCTCTAACATATGGCAACTGCCATCAAACTAGTAAGGAAAAATACCTTCATTTTCTCTTCCTCTCTACCAGGAGAAATACCTTTCCATCAAGCTGTTTGAAAAATCACCTAGATTTTGTTGGTAATTCTGTGTGTGATTCAAAACTGATTACTACCAGGTCTCTTTATTCTTAGATTAAAAGAGCTGTTGGCTCCCAGCTGGATTTCTCAGCACATGAATTCCCAGGATGGCACTAAGGCAGGGAAGAGAAACACAAGCATCTTCTCGTGACTCTGTTTGTTAATACTAAAGGGAAACTCAGTCTGTAGGGTTATCTCTTGGGAAAGAACATAAATGGAATTTTAGCATCTCTGATGTTTTGGAAGTCTTTATTGTCACAAAGAGGAGAGGGCTATTTCTACCTCTTTTTAAACTTATTTATTTACTATTATTGCATACGTAGGAGGTGTGGGTGTGCACATATATGCCACATATATGCGCGGATTAAAAGAACAACTTTTTAGAGTCAACTCTCTTCTTCTACCTTTATGTTTGGCCAGGGGCTTAAACTTGGGTTCTTAGGCTTATATAGCTTTACCTGCTGAGCCATCTTGTCAACCCCCCCCCTTTTTTAAACTTCTTTTTCTAATCAAATAAGTAAGAAAGTTCTTAAAGGGGAAACAATAATTGGCTTGGTTTCCCCATTCTTAGCATCAGTATCTTCTTTTTTATAGTTATTTTCATTTGTTTATTTTTATGAGACCTTTTTACCATGCTTTGATCATGTTCACTTCCTCTTCCACAGCTCTATGAAGCTCCACATCCTCATCCCTACCCTCCCAACTTCATGTCCTTTAAAAACAAACAAATAAACCTTTAATCTAATTTGTGCTGCCCATTTATTCTTGGCTATGTGCAAGGCCATATCTGCACCTTGTAAGCACCAAACCGAAGGTCACTTAAGATCAACACTTGGAAATTCCTTGTGTTGTCACAAGAACAAAAATACTATCACTACATAATACACACTCTACTCTCAATGAAAATGGCCATCTTCACATGATGAGGACACACAGGTACAAGTCACCTTAACTTTGAACAGCTCATAATTTCAAAAAAAATATGTTTTAACTCATGTTTACACCTCCCATTTACTTATACTGCTGGCATCAGTTGTATAAGCTTGGGGAGAAGCCATCAAGCCCAATACTTTGTTTGCACACCATCCCATCGTGTATTTGTGGCCAGATGGAGTACATTCCTTCCATCCCTCAGAGAACAATCCTCATCTCCGCCTTCTTCTTCAATGGTAATGCTTCCTCTCTCTTACCCATCCTACCTACTCTTTCACCTCTAGAAATTGTTTGGCTTGCCAATCAGTTCATTCTTCAGTGAAGGTTTTCTAATGAAAAGTGAGTAGTTGGCCAAGATTGGAGTTATCAATATAAAATATTATTTAATGTAAAGCACCCACAGAAAAAGATCTAGAGAGCAAAGACAACTGGGGTGACTTTGAGAATGAGCTACTAGCCTGGATGTTCAAATTCACATATATTCAAACAATACACACACACACACATACACACACACTTATACCCTGGACTACAGCTATGATCCCTGGCCTAAATTATTGTCTTTGAAAAATTAAATTAGTAGAGTATATCTGAAAAATGGATACTTCATTAAAGAATGGATTTTATTATCTATTCATCTGTGTGTGTGTGTGTGTGTGTGTGTGTGTGTGTGCATGCATGTGCAGGAATGCCAGGGGAGGATATAAGACCCCTTGGGCTGGAGGTGCAGGTGATTGTGAGCCACCAAATATAGGTGGTAGGAACTGAACTCTTGTCCCAAAAGAACAACAAGTGCTCTAAACTACTGAGCCATTGCTCCAGCCCCCAAAGTTGAGAACTTAAGGACAATCCCCCTCCTTAGAGTAGGGGAGAAAGAGCTGTTGTTCATATCATTGGGCAACTCCTGCAAGTTCATGCTGGAATTTAGCAAGCTAACTTTCAGCAGTACACTGAAAATTTATGGTGCAAATCCATCATTCTCCACTAATTCAAGGACATACCAGGTAAGCTTGTTTTACACCAAAATGAATGATGCATAATTAGAAAAGACTTGTCATGAATGTCGTGAATCAAATATGAGCATTATCACAGAATATTTAAAGAAACATTATTGATTTCTACACACAGCCATTTCCTTTGTTAAGAGAAAGTTTCTATCCAGGAATAAAAGCTGCTGCCTCCTCTGTATTAAGGTGCTGCCCTCCAAAACGCATGTGAAGATTTCACCTTCTATTAGCCACACAGATACCCTTAGGAAACAACTCATTGGCCCTCTGCAATGACTGCTCTAAACCCATTTAACAATATCCAAGCAGTATAAATCCATCCCACAGATCCCTGGTTAATTACCACAAACCCACAGAGCACAGACTACGGATCCAACAAAAAAGGAGGAGGTCATTCTCAAATTGATGGAGAAGTGTTGCATTATGGTCACATACCTACCTGCCTAACAGTCTAAAGCAATGGTTCTCAACCCATGGGTCATGACCCCTTTGTGGGTCAAAGGACCCTTTCACAGGGGTCTCCTAAGACACTGGAAAACAAAGATGTTTCCATTATGATTCATAACAGCAGAAAAATTACAGTTGTGAAGTCGCAACGGGAAAAACTTTATGGTTAAGATCTCCACAACATCCGAAACTGTATTATAGGATAGGAACATTAGGGAGGTTGAGAACCACTGGTCTAAAGCATTTGGTTACTGACCTCATAGCAGGTAATTATGACCTAGCAAGAGGAGCTGCCACAGGCAAACTCTACAGAAGGAGCTGGAGGCTAAGCTCCATGTAACTAATTATCAAATCGCCGTTCACTTGTTTAAACATTTTAGTTACAAATTTATATCATATTCACCATGTAAAGAAGGGCAAGCAGTTTCCTGGTTTACCTCTGTCCACCATTCTTGAGCCAGCAGCTCTGTCTGGAACTGTCAGATGGTTTTGATTGTTGCTCAAGGAAGAAGTGTCGTCACTAGATAAAGAGTTCAAAAAACCACTTTCTGCAGTGACGGAGCTGTTCTCTGAGGCCAGGCAATTGCTTGCCTCGGAAGATGTGTGGACCTGTACAGTGAGTGTCAGGGGATGCCCCGCATCTTCAGCAGCAGGCGCGTTGTTGACTATGTCGAGCCAGGACTGTCTTTCTTTAGATCCCGAGGAAGAAACCCGGCTGGGTACCTTTCCTGTAGTCTCCAGAGAGGAGAAAGAGCATGAGGATCCTCTCAATTTAGGTGAAGAAGACGATGCCCGCCGTGCAACCTGTATTCCACAAATAAAATCAGGAGGAAGAGGAGGAGGGGAAACATTATGAATAAATCATCATTCTCTTCACTTTGTCTTTATTAAAATTCTCCCAGAATTATTTGAAAAAGTGAATAGGAATAAAAAAATGTCAAAGGGCAAATGTATGATACTTATTATTGTATGGCAGCCACCAGGGACCATTCTCTAGAATGGATTTGGGTAATTTTGAATTTGCCAAATAAGATCTGAAAAATCTCCATATCAAAAATTTTGACTCAAAAACTTAAACCTCTCCAACCATTTAAAGACTCTCTTAGAGTAATTGTTTTAGAATGCTTATGGCACAATGATACCTTGTCATCTCTTACTGAATTTATTGAGTTTAAGATTTTGAATGCAGTTCACATCAAATTAAAGATCTAGCAATGTCTTCCATTTTTAACATGACTCATCAAAAAAATCCCAATATGTAGACTTATTGTTCTCTGGGTTAGCCTGTATCTCCCATGGTGTAAGACTAAGAAGGGAGATTATGGTTCAATTTCATGTCATCATCCTTTTGATTAATCCTTTGATTAGGAAAGTGGCATGACGGAGATTATTAAAAATAGAAAACTGAAGAAAACATTTGAATTCTCTTCAAAACCTCAGAAACATGGCAACCCAAGTCAGAATGCTTACCTATGTGCAAACTCAATACATCACTATGAATTTTAAAGGCCTGTGTTCTGAACTTTTAATGGGAAAACCTGAAATTAACTAACATGTGTCTCTTGGATGCTCAGTGAATATAGGCTGTGAAATTATTAATAAATTTACTGAATCCCATTTTCATATGTATGTGTTGTGTATGCATGTAATGTGTGTTTCCACATGTACTCCTCCTGGAAGCCCAAGGGTGATGTTGGGAATTACTTCAATCACTCCTCCACCTTATCTTTGGGACAGGATCTCTCAGTCAGTCCCCATTACATAACGAGTCTCCACCTTCTAAAGCTGGAATTACAAGCAAGTCACCAGGGCCACCCAGCATTTACTCGAGATCTGGGATCTAAACTCTTCTCTTCATACTTTCATGGCAAACATATTAGCCATGGATCCATCTCTTCAGCCCAGAAACAAACCTACTTTGAATATTAGCATGACACTAACATGCCTAGTAAGATAGGAAATGACCCCAGGCATGAAAACACTTCATTCAGCAAACTGTCAAATAGCTTGACACTTTAAGTCACCTAGATCAATTAACAACTAAGAGATCCAAGATCTGTAAGTTGTTCTTCTCCAGGAGAAGAATATACAGGCTCCACAGTATCCAAATAAATGCGGGGATATTTTATTCATTAGACGTATCTATGAAATAACTGTTAACAAAAACACGCATGCTGCTCCAATCCTAGCACAGTCTCCTATTGTGAATTATTCTGGTGAAACTTGCCTTTGTTACAGAGACGGAGCCTGAGTTCTGTCACTCCTGCCATGGGCTTTAATTGGGTTAGAGAAAATGTAATATTTGAGAAAAAGACTGTATACTTAGTAGGAGCTATACTTCCTGTATTTATTGATCCTCCAAACTCTTCTTAAAGGACTTGGGAGGGGCTTCTTAACTAAGCGCCGGTCATATCTGTGAAGTGTATTTTCTTGTTGGTTTTTATTTAGCAAAAATGTTCTTAGTCCATGTTCTCAAGACACTACATAACATTTGTAGAATTGATTTTTTGCGTATCTTTTTCTCTTCAATGTGTGTGTGTGTGTGTGTGTGTGTGTGTGTGTGTGTGTGTGTGTGTTGGTGGGCACTGGCTGATGACCTCTAGTATCTTTCCCCGAAACACAGACCACCTTGTTTTTAGGGACAAGATCTGCCATTGTCCTGGAGCTATAGCTAGCTAATGAGGATAGACTGGCTGCCCAGGAGTCCCTCGGATAATCCCATCTCTGCCTTCCCAGTGCCAGGATTATAAACACATTGCCACACCAGGATTTTTATTTTTGTTTTGTTTTATTTTGTTGGGTTTTTTGTTTGTTTGTTTGTTTGTTTTTCAGAACATGGTTCTTCTTAGCTTTCGAGCCTGTCCTGGAACTCAATTTGTAGACTAGGCTGGCTTTGAACTCACAGACACCTGCCTGTCTGCGTCCCAAGTGTTGAGATTAAAGGCACGTGCCACCACGGCTACACTGGGATTTTTAAATGGATTCTGAGGATCAGACTCAGGCCTTTATGTAAACAAACCAAGCATTTTACCAACAGAGCCATCTCCCCTGCCCTGGACTTTATTTTAAAAATAAAAATAAAATGGAAGTGACTAATGAAGCAGAAAGGAAATAAATAAAAATAATTAGGGAAAGTGGAAAAAATGAGGAGGGAAAAAAAAGCAAGGGTGTTAGATGCTGGAGATCAATGAACTAGAAAGTGAGTCATGTGGAACAAATTGAACTGGGGTTCATTTCAGAAGATTCCATCTGGGACTATTTTTTGTAAATGACATAGTGCCAAATAATGAAACGTGGTTTATTATTTCTAAGATTCTGTAGCTGCCAGTAGCCAACACCAGGCATAAAATCCTAGCCTTCTGCGAACTGTCTTTATCATATACTCACAAAACAGCAAAGGAAATGAAGGTGGCAGGGTATAGGTCCCCTTCTCTCCTCCCCAGTTCTGTCTGACTAAAGCCTCGCTCCTTTAAAGCCAGTTCACATGCTTGGTACTGTGTGAAGTCTCCCCAGTAGCATCAGGCTGTGAGGGTATAATACCTGATATGCCTTCTTCTACCATACTAGATGAATAACATTTTATTTGACAACTTATATTGCTAGTGCTGATTGACTGCTAAGTCTTTTTTGGTGAGCTACTTGAGAACAGGCTGTTTTTAGTCATTTTTACACTTCCATTTTTTTCTTGCATCTGTGCCCAAAAGAGAGTTGATAATAAATTACTGCCTGGGAAGGATGGAGCAGAGAACCAGCTCTCTGAAAGAAAATCTCAGCACAGTAGTTTGGTCTCTTATTGAGGAGCTTCCTCGGATCTCCAGCAACTTGCTGGCTAGAACTGCTAACTTCAGGATAGAAAAGAATTACTAGAGAAGGGATAGACCCATGGAGCATGGACAATCCCAAACAACATGGCTTCCTTTAGTGAGAGAATTGTTGACCGCAGGTGATTTAAGTCATTTCTAGATGTTTGAGTTGGAAATATTTTCAATGAGAAAATTGAAATCATATTAATGATTGTAGCTTTTGCTTATTACACATACCTATTTGTGTCTCTGTGGGACTAAGTGGACACACACACACACACACACACACACACGAAGAGGTTAGAGAGCAGCACTCAGGGGAAAATGACTCCATCTTCCTCCCATATGAGTCTTTGGGATTAAGCTCAAGTTATCAAGCTTGGTGACAAGCACCTTTACCTACTGAGATATTTCACTGGTCACATGATTATAGTTTTAATTAACTGACATGACTGAATTCAAATACTAAATGCTAATTTCAAATATTAAAATAGATTTTCTTATTTTCTTTGTAGGATATTTTTATTGCTGGAAACTTTAAAGAGAATACCACTATACCACTACAGTCCTTTGGGGGGGGGGGAGAATGTGTTCAGAACCCAAGCCCAGCTACCCCAATCTCATCAACTTTCCTGGTCACATCACAGTTTTATCTTCTTCACAATATTTATCACTACTTGAATACAATTGTTTGAATTATTGATTTGCTGTCCCTCTTAAACTACTTGATAACACTGGTGATCAAAGAAGCAGGACAGTGTCCTCAACAAGACCTAGCAGGTAGCAGGTACACAACATTATGTCATCAGCCACCCAACTGGCAGGAGCATCAATGGGAGCAAACCATACAACATGACGGAATATCCTTCTGCTGATTCGTTTTTTCTGAGATATGATCTCTCTGTGTAGCCTAGGTTGGCCTCAATCTTGGAGTCCTCTTGCCTCTGTACCTGAGAGCTGGGATTACAGGTATGAGACACCGTGCTTAGACTGAAACAATATTCTTGGTAAAATATAAACATCTGAACATTTCTACCTAAAATATAGTCAGGTTTACTTCTTTGGAACCTGGTTTCCTTGTCTGTGAAACTAAAATGGTTTTCTGGGAGTCAGATGAAATTATCCTTCTTAAGGGATGTGTAGAATGGTGCACGAGGGAGATCATTCCATGTGCTGGAGGAAACATCCTTCCCCATGGTGGAGAAGTGACTCAGCAGGAAAGAGAAGGCATTGGTCTTGCAGAGGAATGGACTTTGGTTCCCAACACTCAGATCAGGTGGCTCACAACCTCTTATAACTCTAGTTCCAAAAGATCAGATGACCTCTTCCAGTCTACAAGACTTATGTGTACAAACCCACCTACACATAATTAAAAATACAACTAAATCTCTTTTTAAAATTTTTTTTCTTGGTAATGGGTCTCTTTATTATGTAGCTCTGGCTGTCCTGGAACTCACTCTGAAGACCAGGCTGGGCTTGAACTCATAGAGATCCACTTGCCTCTGCCTCCTAAGTACTGGGATTAAAGGTGTGCGCCACCATGCCTGGCCCATAACTTTCTAAATGGGTGCCTAAGGAAATATTCTCAGAGAGTATTCATGAGGCCATAATAGCCACCTACTTTTCCATCTATCCATGCACTCGAGCTAAAACATGAGTTTGACACTTATAAACATCAGCAATAAACAAAAAACACATTGAATGGGGCTTTTGACTTAAATAATTTGGTAACTGGGGTCTAGAGAGATGGCTCAGAGGTTGAGAGTTTAAACAACTCTTACAGAGAGCCCAGGTTTGGTTGCCAGCACCCATATGACCTCTATAAGGTACTTCAGTATGTGTATGCATACACATACTCAGGAAACCACACATACACATAAAAATTTTAAATGTACTTTTAAATGAATGTTGTAATTATATAAATAACACAGACATACAAAGTTCCAAGTACAAGGTCAATTACAGTAACAGCATGAAAAGGCATTTTAAGAAGTGTTCCAG